CATGAATGCTCCACGTACAGAAGAAACCATCTCTCAGCTATTATTGCTCTGCGTTTTGTGCAAATCTTCACCATCACCTCCTTGATCTAACCCCTGAAAATGTTAGGTATATCCGTTATCCATCAGGAGATATTGGCTAATCCTTCTCTGAAGGACCTCAAACTCAACATCGAAACTTCTATTCAAATTGCCTTTCGGATCCGTACCTTCTCGCTTTTGAAAGCTAAGACACAGTGGAAAATCAAATTACCCATTTCTCTTGACTGCATCAAACTGAAGTGGTTTCATACACCAAACGATGATTCTGAGCCATAGAATATACATTCATTCATTGATTCCTCTTTCCGTTCTTGCAGTCTTAGCATTATCCAGCCTGCACTCCGCAATCTAGCAATAGCGTGCAATGATTTCCTATTCCAATCTCCTTTGCTAAAACATTATAACGTAAACTAATTCTAAATTGATAGCTTCTCTATTCAGTTTTAGATTAAGCACAGAGGAAGAGCAAGCTCCAGGATTCTCTGCACCATGGATCGCGTATGCCTTGCTGCTGAAGTCTCTTCAAGAGGATTTTTTTGCGAAGAGTGGATGCGATGTAAGCCAAAGCTACCTTCTCTGCGTAGGGAGGAGCTCAATGATTATCATTTCTCCCTGTTGTCAGCCTTCTCTCCCTCTCTCTCTTTTTCTCCCTCTCTCTCTTTTTCTCCCTCCCTCCCTCCTTACGGCCCCCTCCCTTCCTCCCTCCCCGGCTCTTTGGGAAACCGAATTGCAGGCCTGGTCGACTCCGTATATCGTTATTAGCCTCATATTCTCCTCCCTGTCCTGTCCTACTTCCTTCTCGGGGGAAGCAGAAAAAATGGACTCTTACAGCCCCTGGTGACGTCAGTTGCCTCTTCTCTGGCAAAACGAGATGTCACCTACATCTGTACATATAATGCCCCGTGATCAAAGCCATGTTATTCTTTGGAGCATGAGGAATCGTCTCCAATATCAACTACATCTGATCAGGTCATCACTGTGACTATTCAGGTTCCAATTTCAGGCCTATATTTTTCGCATTCGCGACAAGTAAAGATGTGAGTTCGATGGAGTGATCGATGGTCTCAGGTCAGAGACATGCAACCCACGTCCTCCCTCGCAGATGTAGCATAAAGAACATATTGAAAAAATGGGGAGAACCGCGACGGAAAATCTTCATAAAGGCGAGATATATGGACTTTTTTTTGGCATGGGCTCCAGAGAAACCTATTCCTAGTGGAACATGTCCGGAGACATGGATGAATCGTTGTCCATTCACGTGCCGTATATAGATGTGGGTCATTATCCTTCTCCCCCTAGCATGATGAGAGAAAAATGATCCCTTTGCTCTTTTCCCATAAAGCGCTCTTTCCTTCGCTGGATCACGATCTAGGTTTTGTTAGCCTTTTAGGCTTATAAAACAGCAAAAAATGAGTATCTGCGATAGCAAGCTCATGGCACATCTCTTGGTTGTCATCCAGTTTTAATTAAATATTGCAGATGCATTATTACGTGTCTCCAGGAATTGAGAAGCAATTCCACGAGAAGCAACCACTGACATTAGAACGGATTCGAGGGAGCGATACAGCTATATTCTTTTTGGTTCGGGGGGAATCGCTTCTGCTTCATGAATCCTAACCCTATCTCAGTCCGCTCACTGCATGGGAAGAGATCGATGCCGAGCAGACATTCCAGATCCTCCTGCTGGTCCTCCTCCTATGGGTTATACTAGAAGGCCAGATTGCCCCGATACCGGATTACCCCAATGAAATACAAGCTGTGAACTGATCCAGCTACATATAAAACGATCGGATGTGGAGAAAGATGCGGTGGAGTGAATGTAAATCAAACGAAAGATGCATGGTACAGTATATACAGTACATACATGGTACATTACAGCATGTAAAGAAAATTGATTCAACGTACCGTATGGAATAAAGGCAGAAATGCAAGAAATTAATTCTTTGATTAAATTTATTTTTTAAATAAAGGTGTAGCTAAGGGATAAATTGAGAAAAATGCATCTGAATGTGTCCATAACTCGATGAAACTCGAAGAAAACCAAAGACAGAAGTCAGAAATTCGGATAGTCCAAGTGGGATAAAGGTGGACTCTTACTGAAGGATTCACAAGCGAAGCGCCCTTAAGCCTCCTAATGATCATAGGTTGGGTTTAGGCGGGCGGAGAAGGATCCCGAAAAACGTGGATGGATGCATGGTGGGATCATGCGTGAAAGTGACGTCACCTCGGAGTGCTCCCTCCCTCTCTCCCCCCCCCTTCTCACTTGTTGTCTCTCTCTCCTCATCCTCATCTCCTCCTTCATCCGTCCACACATGCCATTCATAAATGCCGTATATAAGAGGTGTACGCGTTCACGACCTCAATATGTTCAGTGCCGGCGTAACATTTCAAGATGGTGCATTTATCGGTTCCCCTGCCCTGGAGTGCTGTGCTGTTTTTTTTTTCCTACTGTTACACGGTGATACCCAGATATCAGTTACGACCCTTTAACGAGTTCCGAGCTGATATGTTTGAATAGTGTGGGTGTGTTACTGGATACCCTTATATAAGGGGGATACTCCATATGTCGATAATGGAGTCATAAATCGTTGATGCGAGTGCATCAACGAGCAAGGGCTCCTCACTTGAATATCGCATGTATTGACGTCAGGTCGCCCACCCTCGTATATCTCCGTTGCGAAGAGATTGAGGAGTCGTAAACCGTTCAATAGAGCTGAGGCAGAGTGCCAAACGCGAAAATTTATAATGGATCAGCAGCTCTACCTCCCGCCACGTCCTTGGCATAGGTGGACAGAAGCCGTATACCAGAAATGGGGCTCGTATTTCATTCCTTTTCATTCTGGAAGGGATCTCATTTGTCATTTTGCACGTTCTTACATCACGCCAAGGTCAAGCTGACATTGATATCAATATTTGGAGTTCCCACCGTGAGCTTTCACATCCTATCTTTTGACTTCAAGCAACTTTGGATAGATATAATGTCCTTTCTTGATGTTATGTCTCCCACTGAGCAGCGGGGATTTTGTTGCCATCAGACGACTTTTATCAATCCTGACTCTGATTTCTTTCACGTATTGCAACACAAGTCGTCTTGTGTAACACTTTTTCCTTTTGGTTACCTTTCTACGGGAAAACGTGAAGAGTCAGGCGAGGAGGGGATCAGAGATGCTGGGCCCAGTCAAAAGGTTATATTGAGATGAGAACACTCTGTTATCTTCTCATGATTAAAGGGGAAGGTTGCGTCACTATTTTTTTCTTTCTCTTTTTCCCTCTCCTCCCACGCACATGGTGCTTCGGAGGTCAGGACCTCTGTGTCAAAAAATCCCCCTACCCATATATACTATACAGCTTACTTTACATGTCTTTGTTAGTTGCGGACTGCTCTATCTATTGAAAAAATAGTCTATTGAAGGATAGCGAGAGGAAATGCATGGAAAGGTACCGGAAAGGAATCCATTGAAAGAAGCATAATAAATGGTGATAGATTAAACATAGAAAGTATGATAGCAATTCTTTCCCAATGATGAATATCAAAATATTCGTCTGTTAGGCAAACATTACTTGCAAAAGGGTAATAGAATCCCTTCAGACATGTAAACGGGTCGCATGAGTTCGAGTCGCGATGTTGCGAGCCCGAGTCTCAAATCCTTAACACTGGGGGTTTCCGAGACTAAGTTGGAGTCGCAAGTTAAAAAATGCGAGTCCAACCCGAAACATCGGAAGCAACAACTCATATGCTACTGTACCAGAGACGCAATCGTAAATCTGAGCGAATAGATTATGGGTTGGCATTACTGACCTACAAAGTGAAGAACGAAAAGTCGCATGAAAAAAAAATCCATACGTCTCGCTTACCCTCCTGTATATACTTGCCCTCAAATTTCTGGTCATATTTCAATAATATCAAGGCACTGATGGTCGACCAGTCGTAAAAGCCTGATTCCCATTCCAGTCAAAACATCACGGTTCCGATTTCTAGTTATTGAGCGTCGAATCCAAGTCAAGTTCAAGTCGAGTCCGAGTTGCAGAGTTATTCGAGTGAACTTTAGTTCGACTCATGATTCTAAGTTCCCCTCCCCCCCCCTTGTCTGGTATCTTCTGTTATTTAAATAGTTTTCAGGAGTTTTCTGTCCCTGTTTCGAATGGTTTTTCATGCATCAAAAAATTATTGCCAAATAAGACTATTTTTAAAATGTGATGTAATTATTAAACTATTTGCAAAATAGCGCAATAAATAATTGTTACCAGTGAAATTGGTAACTATTTTTTTTAATAATTGTAAAAGTTGTTACTATGGAAAAGTCAGTTCTATTGGGGAAAAAAATGTTGTAGTCCCTCGAAGACCTTCATATTCTGGCGTCATTCAAGTGTTCAGTCCACATTAATGCGGATCACGAGACTTCCGACATGGGAAATTTTTATTTATTCATTCAGGAGCGAGCACCTCAATGACGTCAGCTCTGAAAGTTTTAGAGCGCACATTGGTGGACTCTTTTTATAATTGATGGCTTCTACTCGTATTGCTGAAAAAAGTATCCTGGCTTGGTCAGTACATTTTTCATTATCAATGTCTTCATCTTTCACTACTTCTTTACGGAAACGGTTACTTGGCCTGTCGCTGGTCAAGCTATGTTCAAAGAAGAAGGAGAGATTAAGCTGAATTTGTCTCTTGGTTCACAAGGAATTATTACATTATTTAAATAGACTTGACGACAGCATTTGTCGGTATTTTCTCTTTTTTTGGTTGGCTGTCTTCTGTTAGTCTTTCTATTACTTATAAGGTCACCTACTTTCAACTTCCATATGAAATAGGTTTTTTTTAAAACTATTTTGTACATCGTTAATCTTTCCAAAAAATTTAAGAAAATTTAAATCGAGTCTGATATGCGAGAATAATCAACAAAAATGACTTGACAACTTGGTTGTGATATGATATCTGAGTATCACTGTGGTTGGAAGATATGTTGGGTGTGGACCTAAGGACAGGGAGAGGGGAAGGTGGTGGAAATGCGGGGGGTGGAGGTGTGGTGGAACACTCCAAGAGTGACTCCCACCTGTGTGTGGGAAAGGACTACTTGCGAAAGAGTCACAGTGACCCCACTCCTGATTCTCCCAGCATCCACCGACATCAAAAGCGCCATAGTGTCACCTCCAAGTGCATCCTCAAGTTCGACGATTATTCCTACGTTATCGGTGAGACATTGCCGCGACAGTGCCAAAGTTGCTCACGGCCCTGAGTGTGGAGAGATACAACTTGATTTTGCCTCCAGGCCTCCGGTCTGGGATAGATTTATAAAAGGGGAGGGGAGGTCAGGTAAGATAAAATAAGGTAAGGTATTGCAATAGCTGACTGTAAGCCCCTGCATCCGATAACGAAAGTCATCGAAAAGTCGTGCCACACAGCAACATCCAAGAGAGACTTTTTATCAGTTTTTCCTCAAGCAGTACTGCCTCGGTATTTCCTGTGAAAGTTTCACAGATATGCAGATTTTATTTGCTGATTCAACCGAGATACATTTTCTATCGTTTGGATGATCTCTGATCGAGAGTGAAAGAAAAATCAGACCAGAGAGAACCAAAAAGTGTGAAGTTGGTATCGCGTATTCCTTAACTTGACACTCGGTAGGAGTCAGCATATCTCCTGCCGTACAAATGTTTTGGCGTTATATTTCTTGAGAACGCCTCATACCGGTTCAGAAAAATTTTCGTTAAATTTTCGTCCGGGTTCCTACTGGTGGTCAATGAGAATTCACTGCTCGAGTCACATCTGATGCATTAGTTATAAGTTCAGATGAATTTATATTCCTTTTAACCAAGATCATCATACCCTTTTCATTCAGATACAGAACAATGTGGAAGTGTGGACATTTAATCTAGAACAGTGGTGCCCAACCCGTGGCCCGCGGGCAAAAAGTGGCCCTCGAGATGCTTACAAGTAGCCTGCGAGGTCCTAGCCCACAATAAATGCCCTCAGGTTTCCTTAAAATAGTCTCCTACAATACTAGTGACTGCATATGGCCCGCGATGGCTGTGGGAGTGAGCTATGTGGCCCCCTAGCCAAGAAGGTTGGACACCACTGATCTAGAACATCACGCACTACCTATTTCTGATCGCCTACAAGTTCTTGAGATTTGTGGTCGAAAGGTCACATATGACCAGCGGCTCTTATCAATGTCAGACACGGATCAATTCTTAGAATACTCCTGGTCAAATCGTGATCGCTAAAGTGCTCACGGGAGTCGACTGAATATATTATTGACTGGGATAAAAGGGAAACATTTTTGGGTAACAGGATGCTGTCAAGTGACGAGACGGAATGCCCCGATTAGAACATCATTGATATAATGCAGTAGCATTCGCCATTAATTTGAATGCAATGTCGAATGGTATGCATCATGCTATAAGTTAATATTCATATCATGATGATTTTTACATCGATACCATCACGTTTTGAACAACAAAAATAGTATAACCTGCTTTTAGTACCATTAGTTCAAATATGATGCCTTATTATTTTCACAATATGCAGTATAATCACAGCACCCAATTTCCAGTGACTCTGCGGACTGTATCCTAGAAAATGATCCTTGAGAATTTCCTTCGCTTCTGGAGGGCTCTAGGGAGCTAAAACCCAAATGTCTACAATACCCCCTCTTAGAAGAGTGAAAGGAGAGGGAAATCCAGGGTCTTTCTACCACGCAAAGGGGGTCAATTAATCCTCGAGGAAGCAGCCCCCGTTATTCCTAACATTCTCCTTATTTGCATGCGATGATGAACCTCCCTGGTCGATAAGTTCCCGCCCGACATTTCCTCTTCATCGCAAACTACTTGGCGTGGGTTAGTGAGCTTCGATTCCTCCTGGCCCGAGCTCAAAAATCTTTCCCTTCTCAGGAAAAGAAAGGGAAAAATATCAACATTCGTTCCCGGAGAAGCTGGGATGATATGATGATGGAACGAAGTAGGCTGGGATGAAGATAACGAGGCTATTTCCCCCTGGCTCCTCATGTTTATTCAGAGGAAGAGCCCAGGCGTGAGAAATGATGGCACTGGCTTTTCGTATCATAATATGAAATATGGACTCCATATTGTCCTCATTCTTTTTTTGGAAGGGGCTCCTCATTGGGGAACAGAGATGGTCCCGTTGCCATGTGGTGGAGAATGCTCCGCTCACATGTTCCATACAGATTTGTCCACCAATTCAGGTTTGGTCTCTACTTGTACAGGAATTTTTAATCACTCGGAGAATAAAACATAGAAAAATCTGAAGCAGAATCAAGTAATTTGCGCTATTATTTAATGGTTGAGCAATTTACCATAGACATGCAGATTAATGAATTGTTCCTTTGTTAATACCGTCGAAATTTCTTCCCCAGTATGTTTCAGCTTAATCCATGCGCTGCTGCCTGGGAGTTAGCATAATACATGCTGCGTGCTGCTGGAAATTTGAAAACCGTCAATGTTAATTTTAATATTTCTATTTAAATCAAAGAAATTTATAAAGCCGTGACGCGTCATCACGACAAGTTAGCACACAGCGAGAGTTAGGGCATGACGTTTTTACACATCATATAAGCGGTGAATTGGCAGAGCAAAGCCTAGTCATAACAGGCAAGCTCAGCTATTCTGAAGCTCTCTTCTCAAAAATCATTTGGGACTATCATCATATTGACTGTATTCAGCGAGTGACGAGAAGTCTTCATCTGCATGGGTCGGTAGATTCAAGGGAGATTGAATATCACATGAGTGCTTCATTTCTATTTCAAGGACGATTTTTCTCTCGAGCGCCGAGTCGGGGCAAGTCCGTATTTGCAAATTTCCGTTTATGTCAGAAATATCTTGATTGCAGAAGGAACTAGGAAAAGAAACACACAACAAAGAAATGGGTTCAAGAGCTTGTATTAAATTATGGATGGGGTGTACCATAAGTCCCTTTCCGTCGGCAGCTGGTTCATTTTTCCTTCCTTCGATTAAGTTAACTACCTGAAATGACAAACACAAATGGCTTTACGATAGAGGAGCGGCTGGTGATAGCGATGTGAGCGCATGAGGGGAATCGATAAGGTCATACCATGGCAAAGATCAAGATGTTCCCGGAGAGATTTGGCAGAGCCCCGCTGCCTGCTTCAATGATGCGTTCATGGGAATGTGAGGCTTTCAACGCATTAAGTGCTGAGGATGCATCAAGAGGAGAACGATCCACGATTACGGATGGAAGATGCCAATGAAGTGATAGCGTCATTTTTATGATCACCAGGAAAATCAACACCGAACGACCATGCGTCGTTTTCTGAAAAAGATCTGGATATTTGTCTATGTCGTTCTATAACCCCCAAACTAGTGGTCGGCAACAGGCGGCCCGCAGGCTAGATCTGGCCCACGAAGGCCCATTTATCGCGCATTACATTCTGACAGTAAACGCTCATTAAAATGTTCGTTTTTATGGCACTTGAGAGGTGTTGGCCTGCGAGCGTGCAGCATTCTGCCATTTGGCCCTCCGTGAAATTCAGTTGCCGACCACCGCCCTAAGCGGATGATAGAGACCAGACATACGTACTGGACACCAAGATGAATGGAAAGGGACTTACGGCTCGCCCTTTGCGATGCATGAGGAGAGAAGTTATTACCGTATTTTTTCTCTCACCTTGGCAATTGCAGACCCTCCCTCTATTCCATAGCGAATGACAGTGAAAGAGTGACGATGTGAACAGATTAACGCCTCAATTGGATTTCGTTTCTCGGCGAAAAGATTCCATTGGTCAGACGCTCCGTTGCAAAACATCCTGCACGAAATACAGGAAACATTGCGAAGGTATCAGCACTGAGTTAATGAGATAAGGTTTTCAAAAAAGAATGCAATTCTCAATCATACCCTGATACGGTATGCCGTGCCTCATCGGGAGTTCTCAAACCTGTATAAGCGACATCGTATATTTGTACGAATGTTACTGCAAAGCTGCAAATTCTTATTTTGGCACTTTGGAAGACTTGCAGAATCAGCAGGACACGCTTGAAACCCTGGAAGAATACAATATAATACTTTATCTACTAAATCTGCCGATCCCATTCGTTTTCCTTAGGGGGAAGGAAGCTGCGTTGTTGCTTTTCATGTGCAAAATGAGAGGAGTTCCATAAACGATGGAAGCTGCGCTTTGACGGCCTCCCCTCCTAGAGCGAGGAAATTGCTTTCAATTTGGTCTACGATATGGAACCATCAGCGTCGAAATGAACCTTCTTCTTCCATCCTCCCCATTTACCAGAAAGATGAACTTCTCGTGTCTGTTTCAAGAAAGAATGGAAATTTGTTGCTTGGTTGCAGAGATGGATCTCAGAAGTTGAGTCTTAAGATATATCACATAACTAGCCCCAACAGATGGAGAAATGACAGTGATTGTAGCATTTGGGTTGTGTGTCTGCGTGTCTGCTGATTCCAAGTTTCCTCATAAAGGTTTTATGGGTTCGGAGGAGCGCCAGACGTTGCTACCAGGCACTGGACGATACCGATTTGGATAGAATATTTTTCCTTTCCCCTCTCATATTTAATTTGCATTTCTTTTCTATATTCCTTGGCAGTCGGCAATCGCCCTGAGTACTGGAAAGATTCAGAGATGGCCGAATCAGAATTCTATAATTTTCGAATCTAATCCGAATCATCACGTGCTATGGAATTGAAACAGCGACTCATGAATCGAACCGCGAATATCAAAGTAATTGTTGTGTGAAATCAATCCAGATATAATCTTCGAAAAGCTGAATGGATCATACTCGAATCAAGTATTTCGAATTTCAAATAAAAAGTAATTTTTCTTCCATGGAAACCTTCCCTATACATAATCCCAATACATATTTTATTATTTTATTGCTCTATTTATATATATTGCGTATATTTACTCGACAGCAGGTGGACCAGGACTGCAGCCTGTAAGTAGAAATTCTGCCATACGCACCTCTGTAGAAGTTCAGATGCAACCCTGGTCCAGCCGTGGACTGTTCAATACACGTTTAGTTCAAGCAATTATAATAATAAAATTATCCAGGGCGCACGAGAACGATCCGAGTCTTCACACCCCCACATCCAAAGCTCGAATCCAATCTGAATCGTTCACATCTGGTTCGTCGATCAGGAATCAAATATTATTTTCATGCTCTGAATCTCGAATCCAATTAGGAATACTGGATATCCATGATTTATGATC